AGTAGTAGTAGTAGTAGTATATAGTAGCAGTAGTAGTAGTAGTAGTGGTAGTAGTGGTGGTAGTAGTAGTAGTAAGTAGTATAGTGGTAACTAGAACCCACCGGGCAGATTAAGTCAATGTTGATTTATGATGACTTCTTCTCCAACAGAATCCAGGCTTGCAAGACGAATGATGCGGACATGGATACACCAAACTCTCTCCGGACCGCGATGGGTTTGGATCTGTTTCTGTGGTTTCATGTTGATGTTGAGGAACACCAAGGCTGCAAGAGGTGAATTTCTTCCATCACGGCGCCCTCAAAGCGAACGACATGCGCCCTCGAAGCAGTGTTACGCGTGGGGGGTGTGGACATCAAGCTGCCAGGTGGTTTTGAACATGGAATTTCTTGGGTTGTCGTCGTCTTGAATCCAAGAGCAAAGACCAGTGACAAGCGAGAAAGAACGGTATGTTTTTAATATAACATATATATAGAGAGAGAGGTACAATAGCGGCATGTGATGTGTATATATCAACATGCTGCTGTTGTACGTCATGCATATACCGATATATATCTATATATATATAATACAAATATATATATATATATATATGTGTTTACATAACATATTTATATAGGCCATATATTATATATATATATATATCAATATTGTGCATCAAATGATCGAAGTTGCTGTAGTATTCTGTATATTTGATGTGTTTCGTCAACATACTTAAAGGCTGATGAACCACATATAACCACATGGCTATGCCAGGCGTTGATTCACTGATCAACTTCGAAGCTGCCATCAGCGAGTCACATAGCTTCAGAATACTATCTTATCGGTTTGGGTAGTTCGGCCTTTGGGATAGCGATTTTTGTGGCTAAAAATTTGACTTTGACTCGAACCAAAGATGGACATGTAGAGGATTTGTCGTCTCAAGACGAGGGACCACCAACGGAAAAGTGTAAAAGAGTACTTGTGCCTGGTCTTTTACAGGTCTCTTCGATATGCGACTGTCACGTTGCATGATACGCTGCGAAAACATAAACATGGCGACACGAACTCCTGAGTTCTTGATGTGAAACGCAAAAGCCACGCCTGCTTGCCCATGTGCCACACCCATGCAATCACGCGACAGTGGTGCATCGCCACGCCAGACAAAAAGAAAACAGAGTGATGAGCTGCGTATTGCGATGTCTGGACCTGTGCGTTCAATGGATTTTCTCGTCTTCAAGGAGTCTGCAGCACTATGTTGAAGGTCACCTTCAGGTGGCTTACACTCAGGCACGCTAGCATGCGCAACGCAGTGTCGTGGCTTATTTTAAGTGATTAGGTCCAAAAGAGACTGCTGTTCCAAAATGTTTCGCCAGCAAGGGCGCCGCCCTCGATGGATCCTGGTCCTTTGCACGCCGTTGTTCCTTTGTGGCACCCTTTTCTTTGATTTCCCAAAACAATCGACTCCCACACCCTCGAGCGCCCCCAGTGCAACACCCTCGAGTGCCAGTGCCACACGTGCAGCCCGTGCCTCGAGTGTGGCCCGTGCCCCGCTCGGTGAAGGGGAATGGGACCCAGCATGGGCAGTCCAATGCACCAAGAAGTCCAACGTAACCCAGGCAGCCTCCGTTTTACGGTCTCGGCTCCTGCGCTACGGACGAGCCTCGGCGGACGCCATTGGACCCGATGCGGTGCTCAATGGTTTTCGGGTGTTGTCGGCCGCCAAGAACTTCATGTCCAAGTTCCTGGTGAAGTTGGACCATCGAGGCTTGGCCTTTTACCCATTGCTCGTACAGCGTGACAAGTCCAATTCCACGGAGTCGGCAGAGAATGAGAAGGGGCCTCTCTATAAGATGAGACTTACGGCTGAGGCGATTCCTTTGCCGGAGGTCCCTGAGGTGGCTATAGATGACATATTCTTGGCCCCTGCAACCTTGGCTATGCTCAAGGTGAGTTTTTTTGGGGGGAGGTAGGGGAGCGGAGCATAAAAGGTCTTCCAAAGCTTGGGGCATCTAAGTAGAAAACCTTGGATAGTGTTCGGAGATCCTGCTCGGGGTCTTGTTGGGACCGTCACTGACTTGAGGCTGCGGACGACAAGATTACCGGCTTAGCCACTGCTGTGAAGGAGAAAGTCATGGCAGACGGCATTGCTCGGGTGGCGGGCCTGGGAGGCACTTCGATGAATCGGCTTCTCAAGGCTTTGATCCGAGCCAATGATTTCCTGGCAAAAGAGCAGGACGAGGACCCAGACCCGGGGAGATCATCAGGGGAGTGCGCCGAGCTTTCAGGTGTTCACCTGGGCGAAGCCGAGCTTTTAAGCTCAAAAACGCTTGCAAGGTGTGCCAACCTGGAATCGGATGGGGCTGATGGGACCTGAAAACGTATATAAACTCCTCGAATGTGATTTGGCGGCAAAGGTGTCTCTATGCCCGGAGTGAAGAGTCCCCTGAATCTCACAAAGTGACCCCCTTTCTTTGGTGGTTTGATAGGTGCTCAGCAGGTAAGGTCGAAATGAGAACCTTGTGAATCCCGACGCTTTTTGCAACGGTGGGCCGGGTGTTGCGCTTTGAAGCCCAAAGAATCCATGAGCAAAGTCGCATACCAAAGTCGTGCTCACTGGATGAACGTAGGCACTATGTTTTCCCCTTTGTGGGACGAACAAGGAAGGGAATCAAGGACCGTTTGAGTGCCAAGAGAGATGCTCACGCAGAGGAGCTGACTTAAAATATAGGCAAAAATGGGACCCTTCAACTTGGACTTTCGATGATCGTTATCGAAATCTCACTTCGATGTGGGAGGCAGAGAACTGAGACTGAGTCGCCCCCTAGCCGCCTGCGGCCCACCACCTATGGCTTGGTCTGCCCCCTTCCGAGCTTCTCCGTCGCTTGTCCGTCGCTCCAGGACAGCTCCGAGCCAGTATATCTCTGGGCTGTGCCTGGCAAACCTCAAGACATCGGGAAGAGCAAGGATGGTGGGGTCTTATCGAGCTGCTTTGATGTGGTCAAAGGGCCAATACCTGAACTATAACGGTAGAACATGTAGAGCTGAAAAGGATCGGTGGCGATCGGTGGCGCAGGGTTCTTCGAAATGAGGGGACCTGGGATCTTAAGAAATCTCATTGGATGAGGTAACGGTCAGCAAGTAAAAGATTGTGGATTCAATGTATTCTCCGGCTTGCTTTGCTTTCTGACTCTACGCCCTGCGAAGAAACCAGTGACTGGCAAACAGGACTAACTATTATAAATTATAACTACCTTTGGATAGCCTATGGACAGTAAGGTTCACCAGACAAAATCCAAACACAGACAAAATCAAAGGTAGAGAGCTTTAGTCTTTGTGGATTCTGCACTCCTGTTGCGCGCAGAACAGGAGTTTGAAGATTTCTGTCCCACCGACATCTCCTTGACCCCTTCTTGGACTGACACAGCACCGGCGTTGACCGGCCATTTCCAGCTCAAACAGCTGCGTGGTAAACGACCCGCACAAACACCGCTGAAGATGTCTCCAGAGGCGCGGGGGGTATGCTGGGGAGAATGGGCATGGCAGTTCCCAGTGGCAAGAGGCGCATACGTTGTTTTCTAGTTAAGCATGGTATGATCACCACAATTCAAAAGTCAAGGAATGTTTCCCGCCAGCATTGTCACCTTAAGACCTGGTTCAAGGGCTGTCCACGTTCCCTTGCATGTGCGTAAAAAAGAAACGTGCGCGTGCCTACGCACACATCTCTCAGGAGCGGCAAGCGGCAGCATCAAGTTACCTTTTGGTTGCGTCCCAGGACGAGACTGATGGTGGAGCAACAGAGGACGAGGACAGGTTTCCTGGGAATCGTTTCACCTGTAGTAACTTATGAGAAGTTGTTTGGATCTTTTCAGTATGTCTTTGAAGCTTCTTCGTAACAATGAAGCTACTAGGTTGGAGGCCATCGCTACCAGGTTGGAGGCCATCGCTACTAGTAACAATAGACTATATATTTATATCTACTGAATATCAACCACCTCTGGTGGTGGTAGTGGTGGTGTGGCCCCCACTCTTTTCCTGACCAACTGGCTGACAAACCCCCCCGCACAGTTTTCACCCGACTACACCGATGGTGTCACTTTCAACGAGGCTCCACCAACCAGAGAACCCCCCCCCACTGGTGGTACTTGGATTCGATCGACCATGATCGACCTTCAAGGCTCCAAAGCCCCAGAGGTCAAGCTCTTTGGGCACCCACTGGGTACCCAGCTTGACCGTACGGACGGACCAGTCGTCGACTAGGCGTGAAGTGTCCGGACGACCGCAGCTCTCCTTGTCACTTTCAACAAAGACTCACTGCCAAATTGCCAAATATGGTTTGGATGATGAGAGGCCCAATGGTTAAATGGTTGATGCGGTTCTGCAGGAAAGACCCTCATTCGAACGCCGAAGTGTCACTTTGGGGTTTAGCTCCTATCATGCCAATGAACTGGGTGCCAACCCTCGGGTTTGTTGAAGAAACTTCACCTGGAGTGTGGATCGTACTCTTGCAGGGACGCAGCAATTCTTTCGGGGACAGCTGCTGATACATGAGAACGGAGATAGCGGAGGCATGCCAACAAATATAGAATCCTTACTTGTCATGAAGAAGCTGGTCGGGCAGGGCCTCAAAGCCCTTTTATCGAGTTAAAATGTAGCAAAGCCAGCTATTTGGGACATATCCTTTTTCCAGTTTTTGATGTTTTTTCGGATTGTTGTGTTCGTTCCGGAACCGGGACCTTCGGACCTTCGGACCTTGCAGCCGCTTGCTTTGTTTGGGACAGCGATCACCCGAGCATACCTTATCTTCCAGGATAATCATCTCGAGCGGAAGAAGATCTTGGGCTCCTCACCCGACGGCCCCCCCGCGCTTGTCGGCGAATCCACTGGTCTCCAGCACCTTGAGGAAACTGAGGGGGTTGGGAAGAAAGTTGTTTGGAATCATTTGGGATCATGGTACTTGACCAGGTGACCAGGCTCGGAGTAGTTGTAGGCCAAGTTAAGTAGCTCGTGCACCTGGCACCTCTCCATTCACGAGAAAGGCCCCGAGAGGCCTGGAATCAAGGCCTTGAGGAGGTTCAATAGTGGGATTCCATGCTGACAGTGTCAAATCAAGAAGGGTTCAAGCTTTACCTGTCTTCTTGGGCTCAGGTCATGGCACAAACCAAGTCTTCTTGAGATTTGTTAAGATTATGTAGACTGTAGACTCCTTATTTAATTTCCTGGCTATTGCAACTGTTCTTGATGTACGCTTCGCCGGCTAACACTCGAACGCCATGGAATCCGTGGGCAACGGACTCGCCATGGAATCCGTGCTCAGCACCGTTTCGGTGCAGAAGGATCAACATGAAGAACTGTCGAACCAAAAAAGGGGGTGCAAACCAAAGAGATGAATGAAACGATACAAATGAGAGCATTTTTCAACAAGATCCAACAACCATTTTTCAAGAGCTCGAATTTCCTCACCTTTATTCTTGTGGGTAGTTGCTCAAAAGATCCTATCATCGGATGCTCCACGGATTGCAGTCATCCTCCAAGCCCGGACGTGGGAAGCTTCCTGGGTGGTGGTTTCAGATAATGTTGTTTTCAACCTTTACTTGGGATGATTGAACCCACTGACTCCTATGTTTTCAATTGAAACCACCAACCAGGTTTGCTTTGAAAGCCCGCACCTGCACTGTTCCACCTTCGCTGCTCCCGCCAACAACACCCCCGACTCGCTGAGATTGCAAGCGAGTTGGCTTGGCATTCCTGCGAGCCGCAATCTTTGTTTGCATGACTTCAGCCTTGCTCTACATCCAGCTTTACCTTTGCAGCGCGCAGCTCGGGCATGAACACCATGTGACTCCACGCACAAGGGGCCGGGCATCACATGGCACTTTGTTTGCGGGGGTGGTTCAACATGTCCACATAAAAAAAAAAGTATGTGCAAAAATATGAGTTTGTCTACTGTTGCCTAGCTCTAGGTGCCGAACCTTGCAGAGCTGGTGAAGAGTTTGTCAGACCCACCAACGGTCTCGTCGGCAGAAGCATTCATGGGGATCAACACCTGCCGAATTCGGTGTTCTTCATTGCTCTTTTCGGAATGGTTTATTTCTTAATGTAGACTCTTGATGAAAACATCCTCCCATATGAAGAGACATGAAGAGGTGTTTCAATCCCAATGGGGGGGTTCACTAATCCAGAGTCTACATGATGGTATCTCGGCGATCTTCCTGTGTGGCAAGTCGACCAGTCCACCGGAGCCCCAAGCACCCGTGGGGCAGCGCGAGGAGGGCAGCGCCATGCAGAGCCCCATAGACACTTCGCGTCTCTTGTGTTGGTTCGTTGATATTCGTTGCAATCATGTACTCAAGTATTCTAGTCATACCCCTTGCCTTCACATCCAACATTGAAGGACCTGTTGCATTTGCCTGCCCTTCATTCAAGGCCTTGCCAGGTGTCCACCTGTTCCTTGACACCACGCCATCTCCAGATCGTCCCTTCGACCGAGGTACAGCTACGGCGAGGTGCCAGTCTTTTTCGTAGGCACCTTGAACAAGACCACCGTGGTGTCTTCCATCGAGGACTTGCTGGGTGGGAGAACGTCGGGGACCCCCAATGAGCGGTGAAGGCCCCCCGACTTGCCACCCACGTACGGACTCACGTACGCTTCTGAGAGATCCCAAGCCTGAGAGAAAAGAAATGAGGAACATGACATGCAGGAAAGCTTTTCTTGCTGCCCTCGTTCTCTCCCTCTGTGCCGGGAACACAAGAGCCAGTTGCAAGTTGAATGTCCAAAATCCTGCACCACCTCCTCAGAGCCGTAGCGCCAACATTGAATGAGAGGGCCTGAGCGTTGCTCGATGGCACTGAGGTCGGGTGCACAGGTGAGGTCGAGTGAGTCGAGTGAGGTGTTACAGGATTTTGTCAACAAGATCACTCAAGTACACGCCTATTTAGGCAACTTTCGGTGAGAGGGAGAGAATAAAAGAAGAGGATCACCAGTCCAGCAACCAGTTGGGAGAGGTTGGACCGCTGGGGTGGGTGCAACGTGCGAAAACTTGTGCAACCACAATATATTGTATGAGAGTGAGGTTTTGCCAAGAGAGGAGGTTTTAGGGGACTCATCCACTTCCCCATAGGAGGTCGACCAGTCGTTCTTCCGACTTGGGCGTCGTAGATGTTTGTTGCCGCTTCTGTTTCTTTGCTTCGCTTGGGCGTTCGCCCGCGGCGCATCGTTTGCACCGGGCTGCGGGGTAGATTTGTCGCCTTCGTTTCAAACCAAAACTCGCTCAGACTTGGCCTACTTTCTTTAAGACTCGACCAGGAGAACTGCTTGGTGAATGAAGAGGTACTGGCTCCTTGGAGACAAAGGCTTTACTTAGGCGGCTTTCAGGTGGCTTTCACCCCGTTAGATTGTTTTATTGGCCCACTTGATGAGTAGTAATTTTGTCGCGCGTTGACTGACTGGATTGATCGGCCCAATACTTGCCACGTTTTGCTAATGCTTTCATTATCTTTCATTTAAATATAGATGTTCAGAATACGTTCCTCGGACTGACTCCGGTTTGCTCTTCTCCGACCTTCCGCTTCGCTTCGCTTCTTCGGATCCCGAGGATCTTTGGGCTCAGAATCTGGCCAAAGCGAAGACGCTGATCGTTTCTCGGTATTTTCCCACCGGTGTTTCGTGTGGTGAGGTGGAGGGTGGCCGCCGTAAGAAATACACACTCGTATGGTCCTGAGGAAAAATACAAGATAGTTATATTATAATTATAATGTTATATATACATAATAGTATATATTCTATTATATAGTTGTCAAAACAATATATTTTGTTTAAGTTGTATATGTTTACGTTTTAACACCAGCGATCTCCCATAGTTACAATCGTTTTTTGGGGGGGTTCTACCTGTGTGTGAAGTCCACTTTGCTCTATGAAAGGAACAACACCGCAGATGGAAAGGGCCCCACATGTGGCCCGTTTTGCCGCAGATGTGCGTAGTCCCCGTGTGTTTCGCCCCTCGCACCGCGGTATGCAAAAAGGAGCTTGGTATGGCCGGGGTGTTTC